CGTAGAATGACCTCTTATCTGGCAGCTGATCATAAGACTACAACTCCTGCTGTTGCTGCAGAAAGTATGTGCACCTCACTCAGGGTTCACATGGAACATACAACCCTGGCTGGCATCGGAAGTGTTAGCTAAATATTAGCAACTCTGGCTTCGCAAGTGTTAGCTAAAGGGTATTTGACAGAGCATGTGGATATATCTCCGTGTAATGCAAGGACCATACGCTCCATGCACAGCTTTATCACATCTGAGGATGCTATATGCAGTTAACAGGAAAGATGGCATGTGTGTGATCTATTGCAAAGCTTGGCCTCTGCATAAAGATCCTTGAAATTTGTGATTTAGGCAGAATATGGAAGAGTGCTTTACCGTATGAATACGCATAGCCTTTCTCCTGCACAGATAGTGTTGATGGCGCTCATAGTCTCCTTGGTCAGCAGTGGAGCAACGAGGGACGGGAGACGCTCAAATTTTGAAAATACACAAATACAACTGTAAAGTGACCATATTCCTCGGGCCCCGAAGCGGGACGCGTATAGGAAGCGAGCAAGCCGGCCGTGTCGTGGCGGTCGCCTATTGTTCGCCGCGACCTGGCGGTAGCCGCCGCAGGAGCATCGGGCAGCAATGGCGACGAACAGCACGGCGGACAGTGTCCCCATCGTGATCACGACGGAATTTAAGGCAGTTACGAGTTCGGAAAGTTCCTTCGGAAGCCGGTGCCGCCGGCTCAGAATCATCGCGAAGTAATAGCAACGAACAGCACAGAGGACAGTGGGCGACTAAGAATCCGGAAAGCTTCTTCGGTAGCCTGCGCAGAATCATCGGGGGGAAGCAGTGGCGATTAGCAGCACAGCGGACAGTGTTCCTGGGGTGATTACGACGGGGTTTAAGGCGGCTACGAATCCAGAAAACTTCTTCCATGGTGCCAATATGACGAAGAGAAAACTGTTTCATGAATCTGGCCGCGTGTGCGACGTGGAGGTTCGTTTCGACGGACAAGTGGATGTCACGGAGCGCCGTACTCTGCAAACAAAATTAAGTGCGCCCGCAAAAAAATTTTGTTGGCGTTGAGTGGACTGCGGTAATTATGTACATTTATTTCTGAATCAGCTTGACAATAACTGGGCGATTTTTTTTTCGCGCCGTCCCGCGATTCTCTTTACTATCTTCCTGTAGGCTGATGGAAACATCCAACTTTAGGAGGGCGACCGCTTTCCGCTTCTCGATTCCGGTGAAGTATTTGCTGCATGCTCTAGAGTTTGCCCCGTCGGTGTCGATGCTGTTCCATCGTCGCTAGAAGAGAAAAAAAGTTAATTGTATTATTCGTCAGCAGCTTAAACAAAGCGCGAACTGGAAGGTAAGAAACACCACTAACCTCTATGGACGCACAGGTCGTACCCAGGTCGCGCAGTTCTCCGCCTCGTACGGCTTCGAAGGGACGATGTAGTACGGTAGTACTTCGTGCCGTGTGCGATCTTGCCGACCACGCAGCAATTGTTGCGGCTTTCTTGGTGCGGAATAGCCATCTCAGAAATTACAGCGCTAACCCACTACAACGCACAACCAACGCAGCGACTGGCAGAAGATGCCCGATGCAACGGACCCGTTTGCCGCTAGGGGCGCCCTGGTCGGGGCTTGAATTAGATCCGCACGGTTCCTATCGGAAGGGAGGGAAGGGGGGGGGGTATTGTGTTGCGAGACTTAAAAAGTTTAAATTTCGGTAACAAACCATACCTTTCATTATTTCGTATACACCGTGTGCACTTCTTTTTCTTGATTTGCGTACTGTGTGGCTTGCAGCTACAGCTATCTAATACATTTATGTGGTGTCCAGAGGGCACCACTACGAGCGCGGGGGCGGTAGCCGGGCAAAAGAAAACCTGGTGCGTATGGGACTTCAGAGTTGTACTCGGCACGAGTGGTGCTGGAGGGTGGCAGTTGAATAAAGGTCCTCAAAAACGCAACAACTGGCGACGAGCGTCCAGCCACGCGAGCCCCGTCGAAGAGTCTCCCGCCGCACTACTCCCCGGTGACGCCGCGACGCCATGGCGACCCTCGGTCGAATTGAACCGTTCGACGAAGCGGGCACGGACTGGCCAACCTACATCGAGCGACTCGACCAGTTTTTCGTCGCAAACGACGTCAAACCAGAAAGGCAAGTGGCAGCGTTCCTAAGCCTCATTGGCGCGAAGACGTACGCTCTGCTAAAGAGTTTGGTGGCGCCGGACATCCCGGCTAGCAAGTCGTACATCGAGCTGGTAGCCATATTGCGAGAGCACCTGTCGCCGAAGCCTCTTGTCATCGCGGAACGCTTCCGTTTTCACAAAAGAAACCAAAACGAGAATGAAAGTATCCTCGAGTTCGTAGCCGAGCTGAAAAAGTTGGCGCAGACATGTGAATTCGGCAGCACTTTGAACGAAGCCTTACGTGACCGCATGGTATGCGGCATTATCAGCGACTTCATTCAAAAGCGACTGTTGTCGGAAGCTGGCCTGACGTTTAAGAAGGCGCTAGAAATTGCAGTGGCGATGGAAGCCGCCTCCGCGAACGCACAAGTTTTACATTGCCGGAGCGCGGACGCCGAGGTGCTTAAGGTGGACCAGGACAAGTCCGAATGCAAGCACTGCGGACTTACGAATCACACAGCAATTAACTGCAGGTGGAAAGGCTTAGACTGTCGTAGGTGCGGAAGACGCGGACACCTTGAACGAGTGTGCAGGAGCCAGCAGTCCGGGCCAGCAGCTTCTCAGCATCGCGGAGCACCGACACGAGGCCAGAGGAATCGAGGGGAAAAAGTCAAGATGCTGAACGTCGACACGGAAGACGAGGTCGAGATGTTCGAGCTTCGGGGGACACGTCCGCGGCCTCTGCAAGTAACAGTGAAGGTGAACACGATTCCGCTGACGATGGAAGTAGACACCGGGGCGGCGGTGTTGGTACTCCCGTTAGACCTGTACAAGACAAGGTTTCCCAATCTAGTGAAGGGAAGAAGTGGAGTCGTCCTTCGAGCATTTACCGGTAAAAAGGTGAAGCCGGTAGGAGAGGCACAGGTTGAAGTGGAGTACCAAGACCAGGTTCACAAGTTACCGCTGCAGATTGTGGACTTCAAGGGTCCCCCGCTTTTGGGACGTGACTGGCTGGAGGTGCTGAGGCTCGACTGGACAAGCATCAAGGCTGTCCAGTGCTTGGAGAAGGGGAGCAAGGAACAAGTCGACACGCTTTTGAAGGACTTTGCTCAGGTGTTCTCAGACGATCTGGGCCATCTTCAGGGGTTTGAAGCTCACCTCAAGCTGAAAAGTGGGCACACTCCAAAGTTCCTCAAGCCAAGACCAGTGCCCCACGCCCTGAAGGCAGCTGTCTCTAAAGAACTGATGGCACTGAAGGAGGCGGGGATCCTGACCCCGGTGGACAGCAGCGAGTTTGCATCGCCCATCGTGCCGGTCGTCAAAAAGAATGGAGACATAAGAATCTGCGGCGACTACAAGTCAACAATCAACCCGTGCTTGGAGGTCGACAACTATCCGCTCCCCAGGATAGAAGAGATGTTTGCAACGCTTGCAGGAGGGAAGTTTTTCTCAAAGCTGGACCTGTCAAAAGCCTACCTACAGCTGGAGATGCATCCTGCAGCGCGGAAGTACCTCACCATCAACACCCAGTTGGGGCTGTTCCAAGTGAACCGTCTTCCCTTCGGCATAGCATCTGCACCCTCCATTTTTCAAAGAACTATGGATCAAGTGCTTCAAGGGCTGCCGCAGACCACCTGCTACCTGGACGACATCCTGGTGACTGGCAGAACGAAGGGTGAGCATTTTGAAAACTTGAAAGCAGTCTTAACATGATTACAAGAAAAGGGAATGCGTCTTCAGAAAGAGAAGTGCAAATTCTTCCAAACGGAAGTTGCCTACCTCGGTCATGTGATTGGTCGGGATGGTCTACGAACCATGGAGGATAAAGCAGCAGCACTTCGAGATGCACCCACTCCAAAGAACAAGACAGAGTTGCGTTCATTCCTTGGGCTTGCTAACTACTATGGCAAATTTCTACCGAACTTAGCAACTACCGTGTATCCTCTGAATCGTCTACTGCAGAAGAAGGCTGCATGGGAATGGAGCACAGACTGTCAGGACTCCTTTGATTCGCTTAAGAAGCTGGTGACGTCGGCACCTGTCCTGACATATTTTGACCCGCGTCGACCCATTATACTGGCATGCGATGCATCGGCGTATGGAGTAGGGGCAGTCCTGTCCCATGCGTTTGAAGATGGAACAGAGCGGCCAGTTGCTTTTGCTTCGAGGACCCTGACTGAGCACGAGAAGAATTATTCTCAGTTAGAAAAAGAAGGCCTAGCTATCATCTTTGGAATAAGAAGATTCCACTACTATTTGTATGGCTATCACTTCACGCTGATCACTGACCACGCTCCCTTACAGAAAATCCTAGGCCCAACGACCGGGATCCCTACAATGACAGCAGCGAGGCTCCAGAGGTGGGCCTGTCAGCTAGCCGCACACCGCTACACCATCGTCCACCGGTCTTCCGAGGAAAATGCCAATGCAGACTGCTTGTCAAGACTCCCAAAAGCAACGGACAACCCCAACACAGACGCCGTCGACGAAACGTTCGTCTTCTACTGTGAGTACTTCGACAATGTACCTCTTAGATGTAAAGACATTGCACGGGTGACGTCCAGAGACCCCCTCCTAAGTCAGATCGTGGAAAGAGTAAAGCATGGTTGGGGCCCAGAACGCAAGCCAACCGATCCAGAGTATGCACCCTTCCACGTACGCCGCAATGAGCTGTCACTCCACCAAGGATGCCTCATGTGGGGTTTACGAGTGGTGATTCCGAAGACCCTGCAGAAAAGGGTCCTAGAAGAACTTCATGGGGACCATTATGGCATCGTGCGCACTAAGGAAATGGCTAGGAGCTATGTTTGGTGGGCATCCCTGGATAAAGACATTGAGAGGGAAATTGGAGGGTGTACCATGTGTCAGCGGCACCGAAACAATCCGTCCGCTGCTCCCCTGCACCCTTGGGCATGGCCGACACGTCCATGGGAGAGACTGCATGTGGATCTGGCGGGACCTTTCATGGGTAAAATGTTCCTCGTGCTCGTGGATGCTCACTCCAAATGGCCAGAGGTGTTTGTCTTGGAGTCTACGACGTCAAAGGTCATAATCCAGTGTGTACAAGATTGCTTCGCACGGTTTGGTCTGCCCACAACCATGGTTTCTGACAATGGGCCTCAGTTTGTGTCGGAGGAATTTCAAACTTTCTTAAGGAACAATGGTATCGCCCAGGTCACGTCTGCACCATACCATCCCGCTACGAATGGACTAGCTGAGCGGTTTATTCAGACCATGAAAAACTATCTGCGGAAAACAACTTCGAGCCATCCCCTCCGTACAAGGTTGTCACGTTTTCTTCTATCGTACAGGAACACCCGGCACCCGACAACAAGAGAGTCTCCGGCCCAGTTGATGCTACAGCGGCATCTTCGCACCAGACTGGACCTCCTGAAACCATCGGTTGCAGACTGTGTGGCCAGCGCACACTACCGCCCACAGCGGCAACACCCAGGACAAGAGCGGGCTTTCACTGCAGGAGACCAAGTCTATGCCAGAGATTATCGAAGTGGTCACAAGTGGCAGCCAGGAACAGTCGCTGCCCAAACTGGTCCAGTGTCTTTCCAAGTGCAAGTCTCCCAGGGACGGGTATGGCGAAGGCATCAGGACCAGTTGCTCCGAGCACCGTCGCAAGACTCCGGACCTTCAGAGTCGCGTCCAGACGAAACGGGAGGGGTGTCTGCCACGGCTTGGACAGACAGCACACCGGAAGACAGCGCAGGCGACAGATGCCTTCCACAGGCCTCTTTGCCTGCACCATCCGAAGTCCCGAGGCCAAGAAGCAACACCCAGGATGCTGAGACGCTCAGGGATGCAGATAATAGTGACGGAGAGCGACGGTATCCCGTGCGAGATCGGCGCAAGCCTCGAAGGCTAATAGAAGAATGAAAAAAAAAAAAAAAGCGACGGACTTTTCTAAACTATTTACTGTTAATGGCCGGATGTTACCAGCTGGGTATGTTTGTTTAAAAAGGAGGGGAAAGATGTGGTGTCCAGAGGGCACCACGAGCGCGGGGGCGGTAGCCGGGCAAAAGAAAACCTGGTGCGTATGGGACTTCAGAGTTGTACTCGGCACGAGCGGTGCTGGAGGGTGGCAGTTGAATAAAGGTCTTCAAAAACGCAACAATTTAGTTGGAATATTCCTTTAGTATTAATGTATTTATTTTGTGTACTATGTTCATAGTACTGTTCACATCTCATACGCCAATTAACCTTCAGCATCTTCTCTGTCGAGCATATCTTGTTCCTTGATCAGAGTAAACACCCTCTCACCGGTGCGATCCTTTCATTTAACCGAATCTTTCATCTATCCGCGGTTCGAGGAGCAAAAGTGGGACAAAACAGCGTCCCACAAGCAAGCTGGTGGGACAGCGTGACCACGGCCGGAATAGCGGGACCTGTCCCGCTTAAATCGGGACCTGTCCCGCTTAAATCGGGACGTCTGGTCACTTTATACAACTGGCTACATGCACTATTGAACAGATGGCACTCAGGAAAACATCTATACACACATAAACTGTTGACGTACAGCACTAGAGTGCACAATAAAAAATGCAGAGAAGCTTGTAAAGTATGACAGAGTTAGTTTAATAAAATAAAAGGCCAAAATGTAATTTAAAAACGAACCAAAATTGCATGACCGATTCTTACACATCATTACATGCACTGAGAAGGTTTGCACCTGCGCAAATACTATAAATGATTATTTGCATTAGCTTGGTATTTGATGAATTTCTCAAAGCGACCTTTTCCATCGCGGAAAAGCTTGTGGGACCAATTCACGAAAATTCAGTGGTTCGCATTAGATGTGACAAAATTAGTGACCCCTGATGGTGATTATTCACCGGTACAAAGCATGCCAGACAGCTAGTGTAGCGAGTATACTTGCGGTGTTCACGTGCAAGCAGCCTTTAAACCCACGTGGTAGTACCTATGGTAGTGCACACTACTAAAGGCAAAGAGAGTACTTGTTCTTGCTTCAAATGATCGCGAGAGCAGGGGCAGGGGGAAACAAAGTACCTTCATGGGTAGTGAGCCAAGTGTTTAGACGTTTGGGTTACAAAACCAAATATTGCGAATTTGCCGTCTCGCGAAAGTACAGTACCTTATTTCACTGAAATGGTGCACGCTTCACGTTAATATTTATCTGGTGGTACATATGATGAAATATATACTAAACATACCAAATAAAAGCTAGCATAACTTACCTGGCTCTTGACACACAGAAGGACTTGGAAGAAGTCCTGGCCGTGGGGGTCCTGGTACATCTGTTGCGCAATGGTGGCGTACTCTCCGAGCGTCTTTCTAGACTTCAACAGCGTGCGGATGGCCCTTCATTTCTTCTTCCTGATATTCCTGAAGTACTGCTCACATGCAGCCGTGAAAGCAGTCGGCCGAGTCATGTTGACGATTCTTGCATTGCTGACGTACCTGGCCACACAAAGGCTCATTAGCTCAGCAATCCCAGCTTTATACGGGGGATCCACACGAGACAAGACCGTGAAGAGTGGCTGGCCGGCATGCCTGCCGTCGCTGTCTGCGTTCTGCAGCTGCCTGGCCATGTGTGGGGATGCAGCTTCCACGAGCACCGACAGCTGGCTCATTCCAGCTCCTGGCGGTCCCCCTCCTAAGTGGGTGTAACACACAAGTCACTTTGTAGGAGAGTTTCTTACATTTTAGAAAAACAAAAACAAAATGAAGAGAAAGAGCTCAATATACAGTTTAACGAAGTTGGCACAGGAAAGAGATGCCCTTAAAGTTCAGAAAACGAGTGGCCCTATATGCACTGCACAATACACATTGATCACGAAAGTATGGGCCTGTTGCGGTTATTTTTTTATACAGTTTCCAACCGCTGACAGCCGTCAGCTGCCATAACAAATCAACTATGTACAGAAATGCACCTCTTCGCATAGTGATGTTGAGTACACACAAACAGACATGACTGAAATGCAGGATTGGCGCTTCTTGGGTTTCACAGGTAGTCTAGTGCAGAAGTGCGCCACCCAATGCTAATTAATTTTTTTAATAATGACAAAAACATTTGTTTAAAAGTATTACAATTCCGAAACCAGAACCACTAACCTTTCCAGACTCGTCGAGGCTGCCAACACGTTAGCGTCACTCACAACACAAAGTTGGGAGCTTCTAAACCATTGTGTTCAAAGTTTCCTGTGACAATATCGCGCCAGATGCGAAGTGCAGATAAACGAAAACCCCAACACACTTCACACGCTTCGTACCAGCATCTTCCACACTCAGAGTGCGGATAAGAATCCAAACTTATTTGCACTCTGAGTGCAGATTAGAATCAACCACTACCCGCACTCTGAGTGCGAATAGGGACAGCCGATCACTGTACAGCGCCATTCGGTCACTATGGATTCGGCAGTGAACACGTACAAATTTATGCCGTAAACCCTAAAGGAGGGAAACACGGACGCAGGACAAGAGCACTGAGCTCCGAACACAGCTTCTCGCTCCAGAGTTCACACTGTCAACGTAACTAGCTCGCCTGTATCGCTGCTTTAACGTAGTATTGAAAGGTAACTCACCTGTTGCGATGCGGTTTTGGTTTTCAACAGCCTTCTCTTTTTCCTACTTTGTCTTCAGGTTGTCCCAGCACTTCTTGAGCTGAGCCTCGTCTTGCTTGTAGAATCCGCGAATGCTATTAAACTCCAAGGTAAGGGCAGCCCACGCCGTCGCCTTCACCTGGGCCGTCGCCTTGTTTGTACCCTTACTTTTTATGAGTTCATATTTCGGAACTAGCTCCGCGAGTAGGGCTTTCTCGTTGTTCGAAAAAACTTCCTTGGCTTGTTCATTGCGCGGAAGATAAAAAAAACTTTAGGGGAAAAAAAAAAGATACTGAAAAGTGAAATTTCGAGGAACCAGTGCGATCGCGAGAAACCGACAAAGTGCACTGGAAAGTGAAAAATCGAGAATACCGAAGAACCACTGCGAACGCGAGGGACCAGAGCGAGCGCAAGAGACCGATTTGCTCGTCGTATGTTGCCAGATGAGAATAAATAATATTGCTTGTCTGCATTGATTTCTGGGCCAAAAGCAGCTTGTGCTGCCATAATGGCCTCCACTCCCCGCTTCTGCTGTCACAGTCTCTTTAGGCGACATGTGACACTGATTTTTCTCCGCGTGAATCTGCCATTTCTCTGCCACGAGAGCCTCAAGAGTGCTCTCTGCAACCTGCAACAGTCATTGTTTTGTCAGATACGTTCGCCTGAAAAATTGATTTCCCTTTAAATAGAAGCACACTAACACATGCTAACAATGGTGACAACACCCTTTGTGCTATAATCCCCACAAGCAACACTGGTGGTAGCCACGCTGAAAGACGCTTGTAGTCCCTTGTGACTCCTGGGCACTGCCTTGCAAGAGCAGTGGGCTGCACCTTGATCGCTCGTCTGCACCTGAGCTCCAGGCCGAAAGCAGCGTCTGCTGCCATTACGGCCCGCCCTTCCCGTTTCTGCTGTTGCAATCTCTTTAGGCTACGTGTGACACTGAACAAGGTTTCTTATGTAGCACTTGCCTCGCTTTTCCACCGCATGTATTTGCCGTATTTCTGCCATGAGGGCCTCAAGGGTGCTTTCTGCATCCTGCAACAGTCATTGTTTTGTCAGATACGTTCGCCTGAAAAATTTATTTCCCTTTAAATAGAAACACACTAACACATGCTAACAATGGTGAGAACACCCTTTGTACTATAATCCCCACAAGCAACACTGGTGGTTGCCACGTTGCAAGACACTTGTAGTCCCTTATGACTCCTGGGCATCCCCTTGCAAGAGCAGTGGGCTGCACCTTGATCGCTCGTCCGCGCCTGAGCTCCAGCCCAAAAGCAGCCTCTGCTGCCATTACGGCCCCCACCCCCCGTTTTTGCTGTCGCAATCTCTTTAGGCTACGTGTGGCACTGAACAAGGTTCCTTATGTAGCACTCGCCTCGCGTTTCCTCCGCGTGTATTTGCCGTATTTCTGCCATGAGGGCCTCAAGGGTGCTTTCTGCGTCCTGCAGCAATCATTGTTTTATCAGATACTTTCGCGTGAAAAATTGATTTCCCCCCTAAATAGAAACACGCTAACACATGCTAACAATGGTCAGAACACCCTTTGTAGTTTAATCCCAACAAGCAACATTGGTGGATGCCATGCTGCGAGACGCTTGTAGTCCCTTGTGACTCCAGGGCACTGCCTTGCAAGAGTAGTGGGCTGCACCTTGATCGCTCATCCTTGCCTGAGCTCCAGACCAAAAGCAGCGTCTGCTGCCATTACAACCCCTACTATGGAAGAGCGACATACTGAAAGGCTTCAGTATGTCGCTCTTTCCTAGAGTTTCAGACGTCTTGCGGTCACTTGCCCGGAGAGCGCGGATTAGCATCTCCATTTGAGTGTCCCCCTTGTAGGCTTTCTCAATGTCTTGAATGATTAATGCTCTGGGTACAGAGGACTCCAGAATGAAAGAAATGTATTCCTCCATTGCGACAGTTTCTCTCGTGGGGTTGTCATTCTTCACTGCAGGCGGGTGCTTTGACAGGTAGTGAGCAGGGTTGTCCTTCTCCGATATGTGTTAGACGTCGAAGAGATAGTGTTGCAGTCTGAGGCTGAGGCGTTCCAGTCTCGCTGAAAGTTTTGCACTCGAGTTTTTGATTATGGACACTAGTGGTAGGTGGTCCGTTTTTACTGTGAACTTGCCTCCAGCCAGGTACATGCGGAAGTTTTCTATGGTGGACACGATGGCTAGCATTTCTTTGTCGAAGTGTGGGTACCTTCTTTCTGTAGGTGTCAGAGCTCTGCTGTAGTAGGTCAGGATGCTGGGCTTTCTTCCTTCTGGGTCTTCTTGAATGAGCGTACCAGCGATTCCTTCACGTCCTGCATCAGTGATGACGTAGGTCTTCTTTCTTTCATCAAAGTATGCCAGAGCGG